AGCCGGGCGTGGTGGCAGGCGCCTGTAGTCCCAGCTACTTGGGAGGCTGAGGCAGGAGAATGGTGTGAACCTGGGAGGCGGAGCTTGCAGTGAGCTGAGATTGTGCCACTGCACTCTAGCCTGGGTGACAGAGCAAAACTCTGTCTCAAAAAAAAAAAAAAAAAAAAGTAGAAGATGTTGCCTGTGCCACTAAAGCACTCTCAATTGTCTCCTTGTGGTACATGTCCACTGCAAAATTTCTCATCTTTCCACTCTTTTTTTAACCCTATACCTAAGAAAGGAGTGTCCCTATGAGTAAGAAGTTTCAGTACTAATCTATCCATGAGTACTCTAATTCCAGAACAGTTGGGATAACTGTAGTTATGTTATAGATTCCTTCCTATCTGTAGTCTTCATTTGCATTCCCCACAATCAGCCAATGGCAGAGGCCCCAGAAAAATGATGACAGTTTCCTACTAGAAAGATAAAATGTAAGAATTGTTACATTGTTAACATTCTCCTAGCTACATCATGTATGAAATGAGGATTTTATTACTTTGACAGATAAGACCACTTTTTTATCTGAGCTTCTGTGACCTGCTCCTGGGACTTTGCTGGCTCACAGAGACACTTCTCTATGGAGCTTCAGTAGCAAATAAGGACATCATCTGCTATAACCTACAAGCGGTTGGACAGGTAAGTGCTACAAGACTGTCACTGCACCTTGCAAGAAAGGCACACTCAGATCTAAATAGAAACAAAGTTGATTCACCTTGGGAAGTGGAGACCCATTTATTTATTGTTACATTTTGAAAAAACAGTATTTATTTATTATAGAAAATTTTGAAAATTCAGAGAAGCAAAAAGATAAATAATATTATCTTTACTCTTTAATTTTTTTTTGTTTGTTTTGAGACGGAGTCTCGCTCTCTCTCCCAGGCTGGAGTGCAGTGACGTGATCTCAGCTCACTGCAAGCTCTGCCTCCCGGGTTCACGCCATTCTCCTGCCTCAGCCTCCCAAGTAGCTGGGA